CATGGTAAATATTTGTTTACAGTTTTGTTTAACAAACCATGCATTTAAGTTGAAGTGAAGTCAACAAAAAGGAAATAGGTGTATGGATATGTGATTTTGAGATTAAAGTTAGTCTTAAAATGTAAATAAAATGTGGAACGTGTCCTCAGAGACTGTGGCATTCTATTATATTGATGTGTATATGTGCAGTACCTTGCCAAGATAGCAGAGATTGGAATTATTGTAGCTCTTCTATACACGCCCTTATTATTTATCCTACTTTGTGTACTTGTGATTTGGAATTTGACAAGTATTTCAGAGAACGAATTGCCTAATTAGTTTAATTTCTTCTTTGGACAGGAGAAATCCTAGGGATTTTATTTTGAATATGATTTCACCAGAAATAATAATGAAAATACCTTTTGGGACCAGCAGATGTAATGGTTACTTTGCTGGACTCCCATGTCGTCAACTGTGGTTTGAGTCCTGGACTCAGCGGCTTAAAACTCACGCTGGGTGCATGTGTGTGCCCCCAAAACTGCAAGAAGAAAATGGAGGAGAAGGGATTGCAGCATGGCCATCCCCCTGGGGTGGGGGTGGGGAGTGATTTCTTGCTTTCTGTTTCTTCCTCTGTCCCTCCTGTGAGCACACACACCCTATAAAAAAATGTATTTTTTAATTCTAGCAGTTACAGAAATATAGATTGCAAATTATTCAAATATACATTCCATTTTCTTCATAGCATCTCTTTATTTTTCTTTGAAGCTTATGGTTAAGAGATTGAATTAATTGGAGGCATTTCTTCCGTTAGTTTATGCTTTTGACACTGATAAGGGTTAATTTTACCCACTTTACTCTTAACAATCTGTAACCCTGAATATGCTTATAAAGTAATGGAAAAATAGTCAACCTGGGATATATATTAAAATATTTTACTTTTATAGTATGGCAAGGACATATTTCTTAAACAGTCCTGACATGTTTTTATGAAGCTCTTTCAGAGTTAAAGCTTGAAGCTACCTTTTCTTGGTCAGTAGTACATTAAAGTCAATGACAGTTTGTCTAAGTTTATTTCAACATGGCTATTTTATTTTAATTACCAAAGATGTTTAAATGCTTTAAAACGATAAACAGAGAACATATACATACAAATTAGAAGATGTGTAATTTATTAAAATAGATTTGAAGTGAGTTATTACCTTGGAATGTGGTCTCAACATTTTTTAATGGTTAAGATTAAGTTGAATTACACTGAGGCTGTTACAAGAAGCTGATTTGGTGACTATTGGTCTGAATCAGTATCTCTGGTAATTTCCACTTTGAAAACACATCGCTCATGGAAGTTGGTAACTTGAGTGAATTCCGTTGATAGCCTGAGGATCTGGGTGCCTGAACCTCTTTCCTCTTTTTTCCCCCATGTCACATTGGGAAAGGTCCCCCCCCCCCCTTCCATCTATGTTGTGAGAGTCAGCCTTACAATGTTTATTTTCCTTCATTCTCATTTTTGGGAGTGCCGATCTCTGCTGAAATCTGCATGCTGAGGAACCAGTTCCCAAAGTAGACTCTATTTTGCATGTCACAATCAAGATGTAGCTGGCAATCTAAGACACATTGGTTGATTATAAGAGGAGTTAAATAGAGCTGGTCCTAATTACAGTAACACTTCTAAGACAGCAGTTTGAAGTAAATATTCCTGTTTTGTAAAGTGGTTAAGGTTACAGGACTATGTGGTATTACTTTTGAAATGAACTGTAAAGTTGCCTTAGACTTCTGTTTAAAAGGCTAGCAAGTGAGAGCCTTGAGGATGATCACATATTAATAAAGAGTATAAAAATAAAATTCTTGTTCTGTTAGTTCAGTGCTATGCTTTGACAGTTTTCATTAATTTTCAGAATGGATAATTAAATTTTTTCCTAGTATTTTAAAGTAATGACAATTGTCTTGGGTTTATGTGTAACATTTGGAACATAAACATTCTGAAGGATAGGAAATGGTATTTAAGGTTTTTGGATACAAAATAGGTACAATTTATAAGGTTATATTCTTTAAAAGAATATCATTCTTAAATTTTAAGTGTTTGCAGAGTGAATTTGTGTGACTCTGTAGTTTAGTCTGAGTTACTTAATACCAGTACATTGGTTTTAATGTAAATTCCCACTAAATTTATCTTATACTGGTAAATACATACAAAAGTGTTTTGCAGCCTGGAGGGCTAGAATATAATAATGCCTTTTTTTTTTTTTTTTGGTGTGTGTTAATGGGTTTGGTGTGTATGGCTTTTGGTGGGTCTAGAAGGTGGTTCTAGAAAGTTTCTAGAAAGACAGGGATTTTAGTGAAAAACAGGATGATAACTCTTTTATAAGTCTACTTTTTAGGCACGTATATATGTAGAATCATGTTTATTGGTGGGAAAGCTCTAAAGCACTGCTTTTACTTTTCTGATAAGTACCAATAGAATTTTCTAGCACAAGATTGATTGACTTCTGATTATTTACACAAAAAGGTTCCAGTATCTCAAAGTTTTAGGAAAGTGTATATATTTTTTATATGCAATAGAAACATAAAATGTATACAGTGTGTTAGAGTTGATAGGGACATTAGTGCTTAATTCCCACCCACTTATGAGTTCACTAGAAAGCAGAAAATACTTGGGCATTTTAGCATTAAAGGTAATGCTAAAATCAACATGCCTTATGAAGTTGCTGAAGAGTAGTCGGAAATCTTAACCATTTCCTACTGAAAATGTTGGTTATTTAAAAAAGATTGTGAATGTTGAAAATAAAGATATACGTGTTTTCTCAGAAGAAAATTAACAAAGTTATTTGATGATACAGAAATAGTCAAAACCACCAATTTGTGAAATAAAGTAGTTTTGGGAACTCATGGAGTGAGTTACATGATTTGTAAGAAAAAATGGCTATCAAGAGATTGCCGTGGTTTTCATATTCTTAGTATGATGCTCTTATCAAAAAAAAAAAAAGAAAAAGAATTCTCAAGGGTCTGAAACATCTCATTTTTATGTGTAGTGTATAAGGCCAACCCAGGATTTTTTTTTTGATAGTTTCTTTATGAAATCATTGATAAAAGCCAGACAGATCTCACTTTATTTTTTATTTTTATTTTTTTAGAGATTTTTGCCGTAGGGTGTGTGCGCTCACTGGTAAGACAAAAACAGACAGCAAGAAATAACCCCCCAGGGTGATGGCCATGCTGCAGTCCTTTCTCCATTCTACTCTTGGGATTTTGGGTGGGCACGCACACACTCCCCTGGCATGAGTTTTAAGTCGCTGGGTCCAGGACTAGAACTGCAGTCGACTGTAATCCCTACAGCATCTGCTGGTCCCGGGATCTCACTTTATTAACTTGGAAAGATTCCAGGAATTATTTTCTCAAGCAAATAACTGATCGGATATCAAGTGACTGTTCTGCAATGATCTACTTGCTGCCAAACGTCAATGTTCCTTGTTCTTGTTCAGTAATTAGGTGCTGCTTGATCTAGAAATTTTGGCAGCCAGATCGTACAAATGCAAAGTTCACATCAAAGTTCATGTCTCACTACCAAAGGAAGGCTAGTAATTGGGACTAAGTAAAGCTGACAGTGATAAACCTGTGGTCAGTAGGAGATCAAATCTCAACTTAGTGTGATGGAAATGCAGCTGTTTGTCCTGTATAGTCTCTGGGGGAGAGAGAGGGAGAACACCCTCAGCAGGGTCTTGATGGTGACCTACCCCCAGCCTCAGCCAGCCGTGGATCTGGGTGTGTGTAGTCCGGTGTGTGCCAGCCTTTCAGAAGCTCTGCAGTTCCCCACTGTGTGGTGTGCAGCCCTGGGAGCTGCGTAGTTGCTCAAAGGTGACAAGCGTTGAGTCCACACACTAGTTTTCTCTCATAGGCTTTTTCAAAACACACTTTTAACAATAGATTAATAATAGGCTATAAGATCTGGAAATCAAGTTTGAAATTAGGTTATAACAGGATATCCTCATTTTAAACTGTTATAATATTGAATGCTCTTTTTTTGGAGGTGGACTGAAAGACTTCTATCCATTTATAATTAATAAATATGAGAAGACTTAACAAGGTTTGTGGAAAGGTGGAATTCGTGTATGAGTTGCTAGCTTTTGAGCAACAGTGACGGGGTGGTGGCCACTACAGACAGGGACAATATGGAAACCAAATACACGGTCGTTTTTTTATTTTATTTTTTTTAAATAGAGGTTTTTTTGCTAGTGGGTGCTTGTGCTTGCCGGAGAAACAAGACATAGACAGACAGTGAGACATGCCTATGAGGATGATTACACTGCAATCCCAACACACGTGCCAGGTGTGCGTTTCAAACCTCCATGTTGAGGACTCGAACTGCAGTCAGCCACATGGGAGCCCAGTGACTTAACCATTACACTGTTGGCTGGTTCCCCCAAATACACAGTCTGAAATACATTGTGGACCTAAAAGGCCAGAAGCAGGCCTCTTTGTAAGATTTGTAACTAAAATGAGTATGAAGGGAGGTATACCCACATTGTATCAAAGCTAGCAAAATGACAACTTTGGTGCCTAATGATGTCTTAAAATAGAGCACTCCCTCAGCTGCTTGGAGGACAGTATTTTAGCCATTAACCCTTAGGAAAAACTGCAGGCCTTTCCCGTGCCCCCATTCCGTTTAAGCAGTCTTCACTTTCCATAGTTGAGTATTGTCTAGGTTTGTCTTGTAGACCTCAAGTAAGTGCAAGCAAAGCTCTCATTCAAAGGCAATTTATCTCAAGATAGTGTAAATGATACTAAGTTTTTGTCTATTTGAAATAGAGCTGTGTTGTAACAAATGTTTATGTTGTGGCAAAAAAATTAAATCCATGCATAGTTTTTTCATAATATACAGTTTTTGAATACCTTTCATATTTGTAAATGCTTTATTACACAAGGGTGTGGTTTTATAGCCTTTAACTTTGTTGGTCTTTAAATGGGAA